CTTCTAGTTGCTGTATGTGGGACTCGGCCTCAGGATGGACGGAGAAGTGGTGCCTCGATGCGCACCCGGGATCCGAACCCGGGCCACCAGCATCGCTGCGCGCGCACTTAACCACCAAGCCACAGGGCCAGCCCATCCAGAGGGTTTTGAGCAGTGGCCCAGGGCCAAGCGGGCAGGGCCATCACCCTGGATGGTCTAGAGGACAGAGCATTGAGCCAAAGAGGATTATTCTTGAGTCTTAAAATCTAACAGAATTTTCCACAAAAGCTTCTTAAAATTAGCTGCATATATCAATGTCTATAAATGTGTTCTATATAAATATTGCAGATGGGAGAGTCAAAGATGAGAGTTCTAGTTCTGATGTTGATATAATACACTGAATCTTCAAATAAATTAAAAATCTAATGGAATTTGTCCTGTTAGGTTTCAGACTTGCTTAGGGCTGGTCCCCTCTTACTTCTTTCCAATTTCTCCCTTTTGGAATGGAAATGTCTATCCTATGCCTGTCCCACCATTGTATTTTGGAAGCAGATAACTTGTTTGGTTTCACAGGTTCACCGTTGGAGGGGAATTTTGCCTCAGGATGAATCATAGCTCTAGTCTCACCCATACCTGATTTAGATAGATGGGATTTTGGACTTAGAGTTGATGCTGGGATGCGTTAAGACTTTTGTGGCTGTTGGGATGGGACAAATGTATTGCGAATTCGAGCACATGAATTTGGGGGAACCAGAGGGCAGAGTGTTATGGGTTAAACTGTCTCCTTGCAAAATTCATAATGAAGTCCTAACTCCCCAGTACCTCAGAATGTGACTGTATTTGGAGATAGGGTCTTTAAAGAGGTAATTAATGTTGAATGAGGTCATTGGGGTGGGCCCTAACCCAATGTGCCTGGTGTCCTTTTAAGAAGAGGAGATCAGGACACACGGACACACACACATACACAAAGGACCATGTGAAGACACAGGGAGAAGATGGCCATCTATAAGTCAAGGAGAGAGGCCTCAAAACAAATCATCCCTGCTGACACCTTAATCTCAGAATAGAGACAAAATAAATTTCTGTTGTTTAAGCCAAAAAAGGCGATGAAGTACTGATACGCACAGATGAACCTCAAAAACATTATGCTAAATGAAAGAAACTAGACACAAAAGATCACATATGGTAAGAGTCCATTTATATGAAATGTCCAAAAAAGGCAAATTTATAGAGATAAAAATATATGAGTGGTTGCCTGGACCTGTGAGTAAGAATGAGGAGTGATCGCAAATAGGCATGAGTTTTCTTTTTGGGTTAATGGAAATGTTATAAAATTAGATTTTGGTGAAAGTTACACTTTGTAATGTTACTAAAAATCCTTGAAGCGTAATCTTAACATGGGTGAATTTTATGGTGTGTGAATTATACCTCAATAAAGCTGTTTAAAAAGTTAATTTTTCTTTTTTTTGGTGAGGAAGATCAGCCCCGAGCTAACACCTGTTGCCAATCCTTCTCTTTTTGCTGAGGAAGATTGGCCCTGTGCTAACATCCATGCCCATCTTCCTCTACTTTATATGGGACACCGCCACAACATGGCTTGACATGTGGTGTGTCAGTGTGCACCAGGGATCCAAACCTGCCAACCCCGGGGCTGCCAAAGCAGAGCATGCACACTTAACTGCTACGCCGCGGGGCCAGCCCTTAACAATTAATTGTTGAAAAGAATTACTCAAGAGATATTTGTTGGGTCACAAAAACGTGATTACATTTTACTTTAATGAGTCTATAACTAAGATTTATTTCTTTAATTGAGAAATGGATTACCTTTAAGCACCTGGGATAATTCCATTAATATTGTGGTAGTATATATACCCCTATCATGCATTTTTCTATTTCATTTAAAAAAGGGCTTTGAAGCACAACAGGCTGATAAAACATTGGGAGGTTGAGAACTCAATATTGTTAAAATCTTTTTGCATAAAAATGAAAGTCAAACTCCTGAATTTTAGAAGCCATTTGTATATCTCATTAAAGTACAGCCCTTTAGGTGTTGGTTACACGAAATAATCCCTGCCTCCTCCGCTTGCTGAGAGCACTACACACGGATGTAACTCCTTTGAAAAACTACCTGACCTAGTAGAATGACATGGGTCATTCACTAAGTGATAACAATCCAGAATTGGCAAAAAGACAAAAACAAAAACAACTAAACCAAAGAAGTGGGGGTAATTACTAGAACATCAAAAAATTTTAAATGGTCTGAATATTTGAATGTGTTCACGATTCAGCTAATAATATTAACTTCAGTCAGAAAGTTTATAGGGAGCCAAATTCTGAGTTCCAACCTGAATTGCCAGGTCACCTCTCCCATCTGGTGGACACAGACTTACTGAAGAAGGACACCAGGGCCTCCACGATCTGTCCAGGCTCGAGGTGCAGGACAGAAAGATTAGGGTGACGGCAAAGCATGACCTTCTAAAGGGGAATGTAGGTTTCAGGTATTAGATAGTACTGCTCCCGGCTGTCGGAGCTGTCCAAAAAGATACCGGTTTTCTACCTCTCAGTTCTGATTTCTAGTCATTATAAACTGTCTAGAATCCTTACTTCCCAGGAGAGGGGAGGAGGAGCCAAGAAGGGTACCTGGACTGTAAGATTCTCTGGGAAGGGAAGTGGGTAGGGGCAGCGACTCTTCTCTGGCATCCCGCGCCTAGGGGGGTTCCCTCCTGCGGTCCTCCTGCCGCCTGGACGCCCGAGTGGCTGTGCCACCCGGCAGGATCTGGGCAGCGCCTGGGCGCTCGGGCTCCGAGCGGCTCTCCTCTCGGGTATGGGGTGCGGGGGGAAGGAAACACCGGCGGACGCATGGTGCCAACCCCGCAACTCCCGCCTCGAGCGGGCGCTGCTGAGCCCGGTGCCGTTCTCGAGGTCGGGGGACCAGGGTCCTGAACCGTCCCTGTCCCCCGACGGAGCTGGGGCCTGGCCGGGGAAAGGGCGACTGCGCCCCCGAGGAGCCCGTCTCCTTCTTGCCAGCAGCTCTGGCCAGCAGCAGGGGCTTGGGAAGCGCCCTGGGAGCGCGCCCTCCCCTCGCGTGGCCGTCGCGCGCCCGCTTCTTCGCTCACGCGTTCCAACGACGCGTCACAGGCGGCACACCCAGCAGTACGCGCTTTGCTGCGGGCCCCTGCGGCAGCCAGCGGAAACCTCTCTGAGCCAGACGCCGTTGGAAGGACGCGACCGTGCAGAACTGCTTCTCATGGGCAGTTACCTGAGCTGGCCTCGTCCTGTGCCGCCGGCCTCCGCTCTCTTGAGCGGGGACCAGCGGGAGAGACGCGGGCGCCTCGAGCCGGCGAACCCCGCCTGCCGTGGGCCCCCGGCTTGGCGGCTTCACTTGGCTGCCCCGGCCCTGGAACTGGCTCGCAGGCAGTCTTACGAGGATCTTGTGGCTTCGCCCCGTCGTCGTTGGCACCGTCGGCGGCTTGTCATAGTCCATCGGAGGCAATATCCGGTCCAGCAGGCCCGGTGTTTATTTCTGGGCGTCTTTTCCTCCGTGTCCCGGAGTGGCCCTCAGAAGAAGCCGGTACTGTCTGCTTGCAGCTGTAAGAAGTTCTGCACCTCGTTGATCCTGAAGATGGCGTCTGCTAGGGACAAAGTGACGCTCCGTTTGGCTCTGAAGCAGACAGTCATCCGTATGTGGTCTTCACTGAATGGTCACCTCCCAAACCCTTTTGTAAAGGAGACTCTGGTGAGGGCCCTCGAAGAGAGCGGTCAGCTGAGAGTCAAGAAAGAGAAGGACCCGACTGCCCTGCGTGAGAGCCAGAAAGGGCTAGCAAAGCAGAAGGAAGGGCACCCAGGCCCCGAGAGTTTTGACGATCAGAGAAGGGGCTCTGGCAGCAGCGGGGGTGCGCAGTCCGCGTTTAGGCGCCTGATGGTCAACGGAGTCCCCTCTTCCTTCGAGCCCAGGCCTGGGCCTCTGGGGAGAGACTTCTGTTTCAATAGCTCAGAGGACAGCCTGATTAAGAAATCCCAGAGCTACTTTTTGAGCTCCTGCAGCAGACGAAACGCCATCATCAGTTCATACAGCTCCACGCGAGGATCCCCACCGCTGTGGAGAAGCGGTCCAAACGCAGCTGGGCTCCGGGGCCCAGCCTCATCCCATCCCCACGTGCCTGCAAACAACACCAGTGAGGAAAGCCATCAGCCTAGGTCTTCAGCCTCAGTGGAACCACAAAGTCAGATCAAGCGTGAAAAGGCTGCAGATGCCCCCTTGGGGCAGAAACAAAACTTGAGGAATTGCTCACCACAATTCGACAGTTCCAGGCCCCAGAAACGCAAGATTCCTCTGCTGCTGCCCTCTAGGCGAAATGGCCCGCTGATCCTGCCCCCAGCCCCCCAGCTAGGTTATAGAGTCACTGCTGAAGACCTTGATTTAGAGAAGAGAGCTGCCATCCAGTGGATCAACAAGGTGTTGGAAAGGTAAGACAGGCCATCTCAGACTGCAGGGCCCTCAGCCTTCCTGTCCCTCCACCCTCACCTGCTGCAGGGACTGTCCCCCTCCAGCCCCCAGCACTAATTCACAGTGGGAGGTGCAGAGCTCCCCAGGCCCAGCCACCTGCCCATAATCAGTAGGGGAGGCTGCCTACCTTCTCTTTGCTCAGCCTGGCTGTAAAACAATTGGTTCCCTTTCCCTGGCCCACCAGGGTCTGTTCTCCAGTACTTTGCTGCTTGGCCCTCATTGGTTCTTTGGAAGAGCCTTGTAGGAGATGATTGGAGTCCAGCTTTGACCTTGAAGAGCCCAGGGTGCTGCTGCTGTGGACCCATTCCCCCGACTCGAGTTGGTCAGCTCTCTCCAGAGAGACAATGTTTCGTCCCCATTGTCTTTCTGCCAGAGGTGCCCCTAGAAGTTGGGTAGCTGGAACTTGTTAGGCCGGTGCACCCCAGTGGTCAAGATCCTTGCAACAGAAGATGGAAGCAGGACGCCCACTGCTGCTGTAGTTGCCTCTTCCCACCTTCCCCATTTGCTTAATTGAGCCCTTGTCCAACCTTCTTAGGGTCTATATAATATTCTCTCTCTATGTATGAATATTTGGTACCTGTTCATTCTGTAAATGAACAAAATCATATCTGGCACATCTATAGTCTATAAATTTATATATGTCATATATATTTATATGTAAAGTCACATGCAATATATAATGTGTATAATAACTTATATTATGTGTATATTGTATGTATTATATATGTATATATCACATATATAATGTAATATATGTAATATATAAGAATACACAGTACATATATTATATACGTACATAAATGTATATATGTATAATATATAATTAATATATAATTAGTATACAATTATAATACATAATAATTTAATATATAATTAACATATGATATATGTATATTATATGTATATATTACTTACATGTGTAATATATGTAATATGTATAATAATGCATATCACATATATGTGTATATAACATATAAATATATAATATGTGCAGTATATTATGTATAGAATATATAATAACATGTATTATATTATGTATAATAATATATATTGAGTATACATATGACTTTTTGTTAATTTATTGAATGTTCCTGTCTCTTTGTTCTTTGAATCCACGGTGGAGGAAGAATTGACTTGTATGAGTGGCAAGACTTACCTATGTCCGGTTTTCTGTGGTCCAGCTAATGGGAAAGTAGCACCACTTGCTGCCTCTAGATGTTAACTGCTGATTTCTGTGTTTTGTATCTGTGGGATGGCAGCCCACGCACTTGCCTTTTCCCTCTTCTGCTTTTCACCTGCCCACTTCACCTCCCTATTGGCTAGATCACGCCTATTGTGTGTTAGGAAATGACTTGTGACAACTTTGGTCTTTTTTAAATTTTTGAATTTGATGTAATTTTAGACTTACAGGAGGTTGCAAAGATGGTACAGAGAATCCCCATCACGTCGTCACAGAGCTTCTCCTGATGTTAATACCTTACAGAACAATTGTTGAAACCAGGAAATTAACATTGATAACAATGCTGTTTGCGAAACTTCAGACTTTAATTGGATTTCCCCAGTTTTTCCAGTGAAGTTTTCTTTCTGTCCCAGTATCAACCCAGAATCCTACATTGTGTTTAGTTGTCATGTCTCCTTAGTCTCCTCCAAACTGTGACTGTTTCTCCGTCTTAATATCTTGTGTGACCTTTATACATCTGAAGAGTATCGGTTAGGTATTTTTTTTTTTTTTGTAGAATTTCCCTCAATTTGGTGTGTCTGCTGTTTTCTCATGAGTATACTGAGGTTACATGTTTTTAGGAAGAATCCCACAGAGGCGATGTTCCCTTAGCACATCATCTCAGAGGGTCCATAATATCCATATGTCTTATAGGAAATGCTAACCTTGTTCACCTGGTTAAGGTGGTGTCTGCCAGGATTCTCTACTGTATAGTTACTATTTTTCCTGTATAATAAATATTTGGGGGGCCATACTTTGATGCTACACAAAAATCATGTTTTTCTTTAAACTTTCACCGTTGATTTTAGCATCATCAGTGGATCTTGCATGCATCAATTATTATTGTTGTGTACTAATTGTGATTTTCTACTTCCCTTGGTTCTTCTACATTTAATTAGAATTCTTCTCTAAGGAAGAGTTATCTCGATTTATTTATTTATTCAATCACTTATATCTGTATGAACTCATCAATATTTATTTTATTCTTTGGGCTATTATCTAATATCACCATTGATTTGGGTGCTCAAATTGTTCCAGATTTGACCATTGTGAGTTCTTTCAGGTTAGCTCCTGAGTGCTTTTAACATGCCTGCATCCCCCTTCCCCCTATTTTCAAGGACTTCTTTACCTGCTAGTCCCATAAGATGCTCCAGGATCATCTTGTACTTTACCCGTCCCAGGCTGGAGTCAACTACTTCTCCAAGGAGCTTTGATTCCTTTTATTGGAGAATGGAATTTGAAAAACAAGTTCTGGACACTCAGGTGTGCTCATAGTTACTAGGGGGGCTCTCCTTCTAGGCCCTCTCAGCAGACAGAACCAGGAAATATATGTTCCCATTTATACATACTTACCTACATTTTTGTATTTCTTTATGTGTGTGTGTGTGTGTCTGCATATGTGTGTGTAAATGAGTTCATACCGATACCTCAGACTCTAATCCAGAACCACAGGGTTCATTCTAGAAATGTCTCCTTTTGCCTATGTGTAACTTCTTTCTCCAGAGAAACCTGGTCTAATTATCTACAATATATTTACTTATTTGTTCAATCCTAGAACACATGTAGAGTAGTTTCAGAATTACCAACCCTGCAAACACCTTACCAAAGTGTGTGTACAATTCTTTCTGTACTTAGCATTACAGTATCCAGTCAAACGCTACTTTTAAAAATTACTTGGTTCGGCTTCTTTCAACTTCCTTTCAGTGGGGTTGTGTGATCCAATTGTAACACACTTAGATTCATTTGTCACAATCTGCGTTCCATTTTGGGTTCCTCCAACAACCTGGTTGATTTTAACTTGCAAACAGTGAAACTCATGCTTGGTGGTGTACAGTTTGCTTATATTTTGTTGAGTATTTTTGCTTCTGTATTCATGAGAGATATTGGTCTGAAATTTTCTTTTCTTGTAATGCCTTTGTCTGGTTTTGGTATCACTTAGAATGAGTTGGGAAGAGTTTCCTCCTCTATTTCTGGAAGAATTTGTAGAAGGATCGATATAATTTCTTCTTTAAATGTTTGGGAGGATTTGCCCATGATGTCATCTGGGCCTGGGTTTTTATTTATGGGAAGATTTTAAATTACTCTTTACTTGTTGTAAGGTCTACTAAGGTTTTCTAATTCTTCTTGAGTCAGTCTCAGTAATTGGTGTCTTTCTTGGAATCTGCCCATTTCATCTAAGTTGTCTAATTTGTTGGCATAAAATTGTTCACAGTATTTCCTTATAATCCTAATATCTGTGAGATAGGCAATGATGTCCTCTCTTCAAGTCCTAATTTTGTTAGTGGTTTTTCTCTCTATCTCTGTCTGTTTCTCTCTCTCATTCTTGCTCTTGCTCTCTTTTTGGTCAGTGTGGCTAAAGCTTTGTCAATTGTGTTGATTTTGTTTTAAAGAATCTATTTTTGTGGTTTATATTTTCTCTATTGTTTTGCTGTTTATTATTTCATTAATTTACTCTGTAATCTTTATTATTTCATTTTTTCTGTTTCCCTTGGGTTTAGTTTGCTTTTCTTTTACTAGTTTCTTAAGATGGAAGATTAGGCTATGGATTTGAGACCTTTCTCTTTTCTAATATAGGTGTTTAAAGCTATAAAATTCCCTGTAAGCACTGCTTTCTTGACATTCCAAAAAATGGTGATGTTATGTTTGGATTACATTCAGTTCAATATATTTTCTAATTTCCCTTGTGATTTTTTTCTTTGACCTATAAGTTTAGAAATGTGTTCTTTAATTTCCAAATATTTAGGGATTTTCCCATATTTCTTTCTCATTTTGATTTGTAATTTTATTCCATTGTGGCCTTAAATCTACATTTAATGATTTCAATCCTTTTAAATTTATTGGGATATTTTTATGGCTAACATATGCTCTATTTTGGAAAACGTTCCATGTGTCTTTGAAAAGAAGGTGCGTTCTGCTGTTTTGGGGCAGAGTTTTCTATAAACGTCAGGTCAAGCTGTTGGATAGTGTTGGTCAAGGCTTCATGTCCTTACTAATTTCCTGTCTAATTTTTCTATCAGCTGTTCAGAGTGGAGTCTTAAAATAACTCAGCTATAACTGTCTTATTGTCTATTTCACATTTCAATGCTGCAGTTTTGGCTGCATGGATGTTGGGGCTCTGTTGTTAGCTGCATGTAAGTTTTAAATTGTTATATCTTCCTGATTATTGATCCTTTTGTCATTATGAATGTCCTTCTTTTTCTCTAGCAATATTTTTAGCCTTAAAATCAGCTTTGCCAAATATTGCCACAGTGACTCCAGCTCTCTTATGGATACTGTTTGCAATGAATATCTATTTCCATTCTTTTAATTTCAACCTGTTTGTATATTTGAGTCTAAGGTGTGTATCTTATAGTTAGCATATAATGGGTCTTGCTTTCTAAAATCCAATCTCTGCTTTTTTTGTTGGGCTTTTTAATCTATTCACATTTATTGTAATCATTACCATGGTTGGATTTACTTTTTCCATTTTGCTACTTATTTTCTATTTGTCTTGTGGGTTTTTTTGTTTTTCTTCTCTGTTCCTCCTTTGTGTTAAGTAGATTGTTTTTAGTGTATCATTTAAATGCCCCCTCCTTCCCTTATTTTACTATTTTTTTGAGTTATTTTCTTAGTGGTTGCCCTAAAAATTACAATATGCATCTTAAATTTTCAAAAACCTACTTTGGGACATACAGATGGCAAATAAGCACATGAAAAAAGTTTAACATCATTAGTTATTATGGAAATGCAAATTAAAACCACAAGGAGATATTACTACACACCTATCAGAATGCCTAAAATAAATAGTGATAGTATCAAATGCTGGTGA